GCGAGAAAAAATATTTCACTAAGGAACGTTTCGGCGAACACTTTTGACCGCTACTGTACATACACACCCTCACACCACACATGGACCCCATGCCTTAGCCACGCTCTTGTGGACGAGGAAGAATCCTTCCTTCCAAAAAATACTTATTTTTGGTGCACCCATACAAATTCTACTTTCAAATGAATTTCTGATGGAAAAGCATTTCCTAGTGGGTTAATCCCAATCTGAACGAGAATTTTGAGGGCTTCTTCGTCATCTCTGTTCACGAGAGCATAGCATACGACCCACGAGGTACGCCATGGCGTCGAGGAACATCGAGTGAACCTTTGTTGCCCTCACTAATAAACGAAAAGCTAGTACTCCGCTTTTTTCCACTCCACCCCACTTCCAACCAACCAGTTTTCTCAAAAAACCCCCCGTCAGGAAAGCAGTATGTACATGGCTAAGACTATTGAAAATTCCAATGTTTGAACTCATGGTACGAAAACCTGTCGAAGAATTGCTGGTCCCATTCCGCTCTTCCTGGAAGGTCAAATGTAGCCACTTCCCCCCCCCCTACTACTCTCTCCTCCCACTGTCAAAAGTCCTCGAAGCCAAGACATACCTCTGCCTCACACTCCATCGCAATCGCTCTCACTTTAGGAAACCAGGGTCTAAGCGTGTCACTCACAAGGAGCCCTACCGTCGAAGAAATTTGCTATGTGGGAGCGTTCTTCAGCCCATTTTCTGCCTACACTCAAGTATTCCCGAAGGTCTGTTCGTAGCCCTGCTCCAGTTTCTTCACAATCCGGTGATCAGGGAAGCCAAATTATTTGGAATATAACAGAACTAAGCAGCAAACCAGATGTGCTGGACCTCCAGGTAAGACCCACGTCTCTATTAGCGGTACAAATATGACTCCATATTGAATTTGCTGGTGACCACCCTTAAGCACCTCGGTTTTATTCCAACGCACACTATCCTCCCCAAGTTATAAGGTTCTCCCTTATACATTTTTCGACGAAGAACCCCCTCCCATAGATAAATTCTGAGCCCTGGGAAAAAAAATTTGAGGGAAAACTGCTGAAAACCCGCACATTGAGACCCTTCTTCCAAATGCTGTTTTTAAAATCCTCCTCCTTTGAATTCGTTCCCTAATACCCATACCACCTTCCTCTGGTTCCCTGGAATAGCCAACGGCATCAACTGAATACCGTATTTCAGCCATCTTTGTGGTCCCAATGTGATTACTAACCACACCCTTTATCGTAAATCATGATGGGCGTTTTTCTCCCCAAGAGTTCGCGTTTGGCTCTCGATTAGGAGAGAGGTCTAGACAGGCGAAAACGGTAGTGTTTCCCAGAAAGGATGAGCGACATTGGAATTCGCAAAATTTCATAAATTCCCGTTTCGGTTTGAATCCATTAGGGGGTCTCGTGGCTTCGCTACCTTCAAACTGCTCTGTAATCTTCTATCGGAACAAGTCACCGTCACCTCCACCCTTTTCCACTTCTGGAAAGTTGTTGTCTAAAATGGAACAAACGCCCACTTGTACCCATTAAGACTCCCCCCCCCCTTCCTCAACGGAATTTGCTGAGTGACACGCTCTAAAATCACTTACGAATAGGATTGCCTGACCAAGACGATCCCAACTCCTCAAAATTCGAATCCGACTCCTACATCTCGATCACTCATACGTTTCTACGATTGGGCATGTCATAACTGCAGACTTGGTGACCAATAAAATGGCAACAACTTCGGAAAAAAAATGAATAGGGCGTGCACTACACGAATTTAGATGCCATCTGATGCCACTTTGCTACCAAGTCGGCCATTACGACATGCTTTTTCTCATCCACACCTGGATATTCACCACGCCTCACATACGGCGCCAAAAAGCACAGCGTCCTCAGAAGCTAGGTCGATCCAATTTAGAACTTAAAACAAAATCTTAATTTTTTTTTGAATTTTACCAAACCCAGCTTCTGAGGCGCTAACGCAACAGCTAAGGATTTATTAATATCATACAAGAATCAAATTACAAATCTATATCGATCGCATGTCGGTCTTCACTGCAGGACGAAGCGGAAGATGGACGGAGCCAATGCTGGCGACGACAGTCCAGGTGAGTTGACGACAAGCGAATCACTACGATGTAGGGTCAAGCTTGGCGGCTCAGCAGATGATCCCCTGAAGTGTATCTCCATGCCCCTACCATCTATTCAAGACCAGGTTTAAACTCAAGAGTGTGATGGGATACGCACTGCCGGAGAGAGGAGGGATCCCTTCGTCTTCTTCAGAAAATTTTTCTTAAAGCGATAGGTATAATTGAAAATATGCGATCAGCTCTTTGTTTCAACAAGCTTCAAAAGCCGCAGACTCATGCTACCTGAAGAAAAACGCCCTTGAGAAACGTTGTCAATTTACTCTAGAAAATCCACATGCAAGTTTTTACTTTTTCGATAACAACGGCTTTTTTGAGAGGCTGGACGAAACGAGGTTTGAAAATTTCAAGAAATCCATTCTCGAAAAGGCACTGAATTCATCTTGTAAAGGAGAACATGTGAGAAAACAAAAAAATTCCGCAAAATATTGCCCTAATAACGAGATTTTTTTACTTTTTTCATACCATATATTACCAGTGAAGATGCCTTCCTCCAAAAATAGTCCCATGTAAAACGAAGATCTGATACCGAAAATGTCCAAAATTTTCCAATTTACCAGTACAATTTAGATCAATTTCCTGGTTGACCATGCAGTAAAAATTTGCAAGCGGAATTGACGCGTAGAAATTTTCTTAATTCCCACAATGCCATTGATTGAACTCCATTAGAAAAATTCGGGTTGTCACAAAAAAACATCTGAAGTTGTTCTAGGGCGCTCGCGGTCTGCTCTTACTATCCTTTCTACAATCAGGATGAATTTGCTTCCCCAGGCGCGAATTCGCTTAAGCCAAGCTTGACCCCTCAGTGATGAGCGATCGCATCGCAGCTATTTTCCGATGATTCTGAAACGATGGAGTTCTTCCATAGCACTAAAAAGAGCAAAAACAGACAATTGTGGGTTGTTCAAATAGCAACAACCTCGGCCTGCCATTTCGGAGCAGTAGTTCATGATCACTACAGTAATCTCTCATTGTTCTTCGGAGGGAGATATCATGGATCTAAATACCTTGGGATCCCTACATGAAGCCAAATGACTGACCAGTGTTCTAGCATAACCTCAGGAAACTGCGATGGCCAAAAGTTGCAGCAGTTGGATGGAACAAAGGGAAACTCTCAGCCATTGCATGGCATGTCTCAATGGAACGGAATAAATAAAAGAAAGGACAGTTCAGTAATGAAAGTAACCAAACGACATATACAGGGGGGACAATAAAAAAAGACATCCTGTCTCCACTGGATTTAAGCACACTTGCTCAATTGAACCGAGTGTTCCCAACTTAATATTGAAGAGCACATTTCATTTTATAAGAAAATCTTCATGTTGGCCACCCACGTGGACGGCAACAGAAGAATTTCCCCTGGAAACATGGTGCACTGGTCGAGCTCAATGGGGTCTTCGAAGGATTCTGTACCATAACGACCTTTACTGGGCAGCTCGTTTCGAGGGGATTTGTATAGTGGGAGCTGATGCATCTAGAAGACTATTCAACATTAAATCGATTCACGAAATCGCGTAAGAGCTTCAGGCTGAAGCACTTATAGTAGACCTCCTTGAGCCTGACGAAGGTGACAAATGACGTCATATTCTGAAGACGATGAGGGCAGTGAAGGAGGGCCTGCCTTCACTTATAGAGGGACACTTAAGGAATACTCTGCTGAGGAACTCCCGTCAACGCCGGCAATCTCTGCGAAGAAAAAAGGGCCGAAGTCTGACATAGGCAAAGTGTCCTTTTTTTGGTTCCCCCCCCCCGTATATATATGAAGGTATGGCTTAGCACTCAGCAAAATTGAATTAACAGTTGCTGCCCAACATCAGAAAATCGATTTTAAGATTATGCCATGGGAAAAAAAAGCCAAGAAATAGCAGGTCACCTCCGAAAAATCAAAAAAAATTCTAGCAACCACAAAGCTTTTCCTGAGATTTCAGTGTTCTCTTTATATTTCACACAGCTTTCCAAAAATCCCCCATCTCCTTTCCAGAAATATGACCATTTATAGAGAGACAGGACCGAATCAAACTCAATTTCGCACACCTGCCCATGCCCAGCACCAATGTGATCGCCCCGGTGCTCTTTACTTGCAGGAATCTTCCAGGAAAGCTCATGGTTATATCTCCCAAATAAATCAGTGACTTGAGACTCCTCATTTACGAAAGGAACGAGAAGAAGAAAGAATTGTGTTTGTTTTCGTAAACAATTCGAAAAATCCCAAGGACTGGCGTTCAACTCGCTGTTCATCTGCTACAACTGCTGGAGATCGGATGGACTCCGATTATTCCTTGAAGGCCTTCACTAGGGATCCCTTTTGACATTCTCCACCTATAGCAATAACATTTTTCAACTGCATCCTTTTCTATCGATAGCTTTGTCCCTATTTTTCGACCGAGCGCTTCAACACGACTACTCGAATGCGACGCTTGAAGCGCAGCCGCGCCAGGGCGCTCTTCTTTCCATGCTTCCCATTGTTGCTTCCCATTGTGATTTTCGTATATTTGTTTCTGTTCGTAAAGTGAACCTTCTTGCGTGAAGCTTTGTACATTGTCCCTATTGATCAAAACTGACATACTCACTTTGGGAAAGAATGCAAAAATTTTCCGCGGATAATCCTATTGGACGGATGTTTTATTTTCAGTGGTTAAGGCAGTAACTTCCATGACTGCAGGACGGGCGACGGTTTCGATAACGTCACTGGTGGAGGAGCATGAATGACGTTCTCATTCACACCACTCGCCCTCTGATGGGTCTATTACACCAATGATATTCAATGACGTCATCAAAACCGTACCGCCTTAAGCCGATTGGTGATCATACGACGTAAAACGTCAAACTACTGAGTTACGGGAAAAACGTAAATACATTACCTTGGGGCTACGGCATCCCACGACTGCATATCGGAATGGGATTTAAAGCCGATGTGTGCCTCATGTGTACTAATCTCATTAGTTGCCAAAAAGGCGTCCAGTGGAGCCCCCCCCCCTCTTTAAACAAGCACAAAAACAACTAACCAAATACAGGTTCGTTGTTGAAACGAATTGTGATGGTGTGATCGGCACTCTCTTTTGGCACGAATGAGATGTCGTAGCTATGTTGACCAAGCCATTTGCCATTGACTGCACGCAACCGTCATTGACAGTCACTTCCAGTGTATGTACTAACACCGGCTTCGAACGCATCCACTAAACGTAATGAATAATAAATTTATATTACTGTTAAAAATCTAATAGTAAGTATGCGTCCAGTAGTGCGGCAACCTCGTTCGGCTAATCAATAAGTATCGTTTTAATGAGGACCTATTGAGATCGCGTAGCAGCTCTCCAAAGAGTGGTCGCTAGTTCTAGGATTAATTTGGTAGGAGATTGAATATTGCTCCTAGTCCAGAGATAGGGGTTATAGCGGTGCGGTGACCAATAAATACAGTGTGTAAATGATTATTACTCATCACTGAAGCCCATGACCCCTGTTCAATTTCCAAAGGGGTTCGCCTGCCAGAGAGGAAGTCCTAGAGGTTGGAACATGTCATTCCGACTGAGGTCCTTTGTAATCAAATGACAAATGTTAGTTAAAGTGCGTCAATTTTTATGGGGATTGGAGGAGGTAGTGTGGTCGGCTGTTTCACTCTGAACAAGAACCACGAAATGCAGCTCTAGTCTGCTGAAATAAGAATACTGAAGAAGGCTCGTGGCTGGATAGGACTGGACAGGGTCAGAAACGTGGCTGGACAGGGTCAGAAACGAGGATGTTATAGCGGTTTGCAGACTGCCCTTGTCCACTTAGAGGCAGGGTCAGCGTCCGTTCGCACTGCTCGAACGAGCGGGTCGTAGGTTTAGGTAGGTTTTGGGCTGTGTCAACTGGTCTCAGAATCAAATACTATAGAGGAGGGAGAGGTCGCGGTGGAGGAAGGCTTGTTGTATTGGGGGGGGGTCGCAACCGTGCGTTGGGAGGGGTCGCAACTGGACCCTCTCGAGAGGGAGGGAGTCGCAAAAATCCCGAAAATGTTCGAACGTGACGGTTGACCCTCGTCGCATGTGCGATTTTGGAAAGGGGGGTTGCATCTAGGGTTGAGTGAATTACATCTAGAGGAGAGTGATTTCGGAGGCTTTTTCGATCATTTCGGTGGCTGTGTCGACTGGTCTCAGAATGAAATACTATAGAAATAGCCATGATGGCGAGGGTTGTGGTCGGGGTGTGGAGGAGAGGGGTTATATTGTGGGAGTCTCCTAAGATTGATGGTTGTTATGGGGGAGGGTTGCATCGAGATCTCTATAAGGGGGTGGCGGGGGAGGGGGCAGAATTGTTGGAAAAGTGTGAACGCGACGGTTGACCCCGATTGGAGGTGCGGGAAGAGCACACCTAAAAGCGGATAGGGCGTGCTAAGAAGACCGCAGGATCACTAGATAGCTAAGAGCAATGACTTCGAAACGCAAGGCAAGGTTCGCTACTACGACATACCTCATTGATACGTCTTGAGGAAGTGTTTAATAGAGTCGCCGCACTCTAGTCATAGACAAGGCCCTAGCCTTAATCATGGAACCTCGCCGCAACAATGGTTCTCCAATTGTCCGTTTCTCTGAGTTCAGTAATACACCCTCGAGCAAAACATGTGATACAACTTTCGGCTTTTCAACCAGTTCTTTTGCTCGACAGCCGCTGGGTAACCCTTTACCTTCATGGACGAACTTCCGACAGCTGCTGACCCAAAGGTGGGAACCTTCCACGCAGGGTCAAGCGTGCGTTGAGGAATCCTCGACATGTCACAGAGGGGGGGGTCGTATTGGCCCGCTGGGGAGAGATCGGGCCCGATTGATACAGTAGGATCATCGTCGGAGGACAAACATTAAGGATCGAATAGATAAAAAACCAGAGTATTTCCAATAACAATTGACTCCGTCCACACAAAATCTTCGTGATTTAGAGGTGTCCGCTTAGCAATTCTTAATGACTTTAGTGTTTCATCACCACACAAGTCGAAGGATCCGAAATTCGCACGTTTTCTAGGGATATTTTATCTTTCAAGTAGGTCCTCAAATCCAACGAGATATGAACCACACGGCGCATCCCAGAGTGGGCAGTTGGTTGGCGCGCTTCAACACGGCTATTTGATAACGAAATCTTAATTCAGAAGAATCAAAGAGGTTTCTGAAAGCGTTCATGGTTAATTACAAAGCAAGAGTAGCACTATTCAACACAAAACGCAAGCCCTCTCAGCGTCATACGCAAGCATGTAACCTTTGAGTTGCAGACCCGTTGAACAATTTCTAAGCATCTTCCTGCGAGAGAAAGCACGTGATTTCGAATACTGCTCTACTTCAGTATGTATCGCCCCCGCAAAGGACTATACGTCGTTGGGTGATGTGCTAAATGTACGAAAAAAGTTCTTTCGGCGTACGTCGGCAACATTCCTACGTGGCACTTTTAAATAGTGAACGTATTTAGCAGTTTAGTTGCCTCTAGATTAAGAGTAAATCTTCCAGTTTATCATGGACCGTATAACTTCCATAAGATTGCATGAGCTTAAACGGAATTATGGCATTTTGAAAGCGTAAAAACTCCGCTTCATCACGAATTTTTCTCGTTAATTTTGCAAAAATCCTTCAACGTGGCCAATTTTTTTGAGTACTGAACGCTATAGAAGCTCGCTTTACAACCGGTTGATGAGAAAACAAATTTCTAGTTTGTATGAAAGTATCATACGTTTTTGAATTCGAAGGAAATGAAGCAAGTTATTGCTCCGGAAAGTGTAAAAACTCGAGCTCGTCTCGAATTTTCCTCGTTATTTGATCTAAATTTGTTATTTCTCATAACTTCCTGTAATTTCAGTACTGATTAGAAAAAGCTCCTCGCAAAACTCTCAAATCAGCTTTCAGATTGAAAATTCGTTAACTTTGAAGAAAGTTATAATCATTTGAATACTTGTTCAAATTTAAATAGTAAATAAGCTGCTCCACGGTCAACGCCAAAGTCCAGTCAACACGCAGCTGGCGAAGGCTTTTACAAGGCTTCCTTTGAGCGAAAGGGGGACGTTTAAATTGAGAACCATAATCTGTGTAGTACTAGAATTTGGTAAGTCTTGTGGAGGAAATAAACAAAGAAGAGGTGTTTTCATAGTGCGCCATTTCTAGTGACTAGTTTGACGTTTTTTGCTCCGTTTCTCGTTTGCTCGTTTGACAGGACTCGTCATTAGTGATCACTCTTTGACTTTTTCACTTTTATACTTTTTAAACGAGTTTTTTTTTGTGGACGATGGGGTAGCAGGGCTTTTTTATGAGCAGTTTTGGTGGAGAATTAAACAACTTTTTCATAGTTCGGCTTTTGAAGAGGGTTGTTTCATGGACTTCGGTCTTCGGCAGAGGGAGAGGGGGTCGTATTTCCGAATTTTCCTCGACGCCTCGCTTGACCCTGCTTCCACGTCGGGGAGTGAACGCGAATAGTTCAAGTGGGCCTACTGTATTTTAGATTGGAATCGCAATCAGAACGCCGGTCAGATTGGAACCATTTCCATATGGCTTTTAGTTACGCCAAAAGCCAGGCCACAATTTTGTCACCCCCGTGGAACATTTGCAAGCGGGGTGACAGGCATGCCGACCGGCATTCAACCTGCTCAAGTTGCTAGATAACGGAGTGATAACACGTGGTCATTGTCATTGTGTAAAGTTGGTCATTGTTGAACTAGCACGCCACGATGTCCAACCCCCCCCCCCTCTGAGTACAGCAGCGCCTTTTCATGGTGTCATGATATGCTAGTGTGGCAGCTATGAATAGATTGCAGAATTAAAAGACGAACTGTTCGAGCAGGATTTGATCCAGCGTTGACGATCAAGTAAGTTGCAATGCCTTTTGGTTGAAATTAATATCGCAGTGGTCTATGTTTACTTTCAGGACAACAATCCTCCGTCATGTCTCGGTCACATGAGGGTAGCCACTTGACATGTGTGAAAATCAGGGCGTGCCCACCACACTTGTATAGCACCCTTTTATTCATATTTTTTTTTATTATTTTTGAAAATGTAGAGAAAAACGATTCTTTCATATGAAATCCCTTAGGGGTACACAGTCATGTTGAAATTGATTGAACCAAGTCCATTCGATCAATTCCTACTCATTTCTACTTGGTACACAGCGACACAGCGAAAATAAGAACGCGATCAATGCTCGGACTCCTCAATGCATCAAAGTATTGATGGTAGAGCCTGGCTCTTGCTCGCTCCCTCGCTGCCGCTGTGACGCAACAACACGCGAACGCGCCCGCGCCGCCAATGAGCTTTTCTATGAAGCCAGGGAAAACGCCAACCAGTGAGGGACCAATGCGCCGATGAACTCCGTCCACACATTGGACTCGGATCGACGATCTACAACTATATTCATCCCTTTGAAACGACATGAAGCTCAAACGTGATTGTCGAGCAGCTCTTCAGCCTGTACACGAAATTGCCATCCATGAGGATCACGGATATCCATCCGCACGGAACTTTACTACTCTACTTCGGGCCTCGATACGATCCTCAAATCACCACACGTGAGGACACTCCAATACGACTCCCTACCTCCACCTCCGCCACTGCTTCGATAACCTCTCAAACCAGACGACACAATTCCGCCTCAACATTTCCTCTAAAACGTCCACCGAGCAGGACGAGGGGTTGGTGGAAGTATATATGAACATGACTTCGGAAACATGTTGTGATTAGGCACAGATAGCGTCGCGACTGTGAACACTGCACTTCCTATATCAAAATGAAATGGATGCTATGAGATCTAACAATACCTGAGAGACAGCTTCGGCTTTCGGACTACCTTCATCATGTTCTCGAGTGAACGCATTGGAAGTGCCCATTTTGCCGGATTTTCATAACAAAACGGTCTGGAAAAAAAGTTTCCAATTTTCAAAATTACCGTAATGCCACTTTTTTAAGTGATAGGATGAAGCAGGGTGCTATACAAGTAGGGTGGGCACGCCGCATTTTTTGAACAGAAATGTTTGTCACTGGGACTGCTGCTCGCTGGGGAGTTCGTGAGCCAGGGGGAGTGTAGACAATCTAGGGGGGTGGGGGTGAGGGCAATCACTTGACATGCGTGAAAAGCTGGGTGTGCCCACCCTACTTGTATAGCATCTGAAGCAAAAGAAGGTATCATAGTAAAAGCTTCACAGGTGTTAAACTAGAACGGGGCACGGTTGGCGGGAGAAGGGATGAATGAGCAATCGACTACCACTCTGTCCTGCCTCACCACCACACGTTCCTGCCACTGTGGTTGTCGATCGACGCCTTTGACCTCGCAGTACTGTCAAAAAATCTCTCAATAATTATTTGCTGAACGATCGAGGACGTTGAAAGAGTCAATCCTAACAACCTCAACTGTTGAGGTAATGCTTGAGGATGATTCATCCTGTGGCTTACTGGTATTAAGAAGAATTACGGTGGCGCGATCGAGTGGGTCATACGGTATCGGTTCGATAAAAGGCGCAGTACCCAGCCGACCTTACCCGTCTCCACATCGATTTTTTTCTCTCGGGTCGTCCTGATATCTAGATAAACTCAGATTCAATACTTCCTCAAGATTAACAAGCTCTTCATGACCCACTTCAGCTTTAAGCGCAGTACATTCGAGAGCGAATGAGGCCAAAGTTGCCGCTGTTGGCAATGGTCTAGAAACCATGACGGGCACCTTCATTCTAGAAGTTTAGACACTTCCTCCTGCTTGGAAGAAGTTGCTCGGCTCAATGTTACTTCTTCTAAACCTTCACCATGAGTCAAAAATTGGTCCAATGCCTTGCATTCGCTAAAATGCCGCAATCCCCGTTAACCACATAGAAGCCGAGGAACGTTCTGGGGCATTATTATAGTTTGTATGACTTCCGGTGAACAATCAGGCACAGACTCCGTCAAAGTGAGTTTGGTTTCTACGCCATCTCCTCGAATTCCTCGTATGTTGTACGGCTGTTGGTATTAGATGGGGCCAAGACCCATATAAACAGATGAACGACCGTTTCTGCGTAAAAAGAATACTCCAACATGGGCAAGTAAGTTTCAATCTGCAAAAGTGATACCGCATATCGAGGCAGTGATTTACCTATCCAGAAGCTCATTGGGGGAGAGAAACGTTCACCAGCGGCGCGGACGCGAGCGCGTGCTGGTGACGTCAAAATGACGTCAGCTGCGGCAGATTCGAAGGACGGGTGAGCAGTGGCCCGCCGCTGGCACTTTGCTTGAGCAAAGCTGTGCTTTTGGCACTATACCAACTTGTTGAAGCAGTTGTGCCGCGAGAGAAATGATTATATCATGTTTAGGCATCATCCTTGCTTTAGAAACTGAAATTACTTGAAAATGTAGAGAAAGTAGAGGCTTTCATGAGGAAACGGTACATTGTCAGTAATTTGAATAAGCTAAGTGTTCTCGTGTTCGATTCCTGCTTACTTCTAATTATAACATAGTGAAGTAAGAGTACAGTAGATGATCGGAGTACTTAATATTGAAGTAATGATGGAAAAGCGGCCCTTGCTCGCTGTCTCGCCGCCGTTGTGACGTCACCAACACGCGAACGCGTCCGCGCCGCGGGTGGCTTTTTCCATGAAGCCAAGCTCATTCGCCTCCGCTCAGCTCAGGCAAGCTCTCGTCCCAATTGGTTATGCGTACGGCCGAATCTGGGCGATGGCCCCATTAGGGGGGGGGGACACGGCGGAGCAGGCACCCGAGGCTTCCAAAATTTCCAAAAATATTTTCACCTAAGCAAATGCTTATTCGTCTTCTGGCACAATCGTAGTGTTCCCCTACCCGAGAGGCTCTTCCCACCGCTGCATAAAATTGTTATCATATTAAAATTACCTACCCCCCACTCTCCAATCCTATCCCCCCAAGTACACCAGAGTCTAAGTCTGTAGAAATCCATTTCGAGATTGAGATAATCTCGAAATGGATTTCTACAGGCTAGTTTTTTTTAATAAAGATAATCTGTCTTTCTGTAGCCCTTGTAGTGCATAGAAGTCGAGGCGACAATCAGATTCTAGAATATTTACGAATACTGGGATCAAATCATGTTTCAGATAGACCGCCTCTGGAATATTGGCATAAATACGAGAGGTCGGGTGCTTCACCTTTTACAGTATACCAGGCTAAGTTCCCAAACGTGACGCGACCGCACGTTCTAACGAAGGAGCTCGTTCAGGATGTGGAGCGCTTTTTCAGAACGGTTTCTTTGCATACTGGGGGGGGGGGGGAATCGTCACGTGGACTCAACATTGAGTTCCATTTCGCTTAAGCGCCCCCCCCCCCCCTTGAAGGCCAAAAGTGGTCGAGAAAATCTATTAAGATTGTGTGGGTTTACAGCCCTCGAGTAACGTTTTGGGCTTGCAGAGAAGATCAGCGGCATATTGAAGGGCACTGATCAAGATGGTACCGAAAATATAGTGAAATGCGCTCAAAATCAAAGTATTGTGAGTGATGGTGCTGTAGAGCGTGGAGGCTTCATAAGCATCCATGGATGACCACTCTATCGCACAGGTCCTGCGGTGAAGTGGATAGAGTGCTGAACTCGGGCTGGCACGGCAGCAGGGCTATGGTGTTCGAGTGCGCTCGTTAGCAAGTTTTTGTATTTTTGATTTTCACCTCGAAATCGGCGCCAAATTGCTGCAGCGTCAAATTGAACGCTATGATCACAATCAGGACCATCAGTAGTCCCTCCAAATCGGCTTTCTATGAAAAAGTAGTAGAATGAATTCGCAGCGCCAAACTGGCATCAAATAACACCTACGCCAGAAGCAACTTCATATCCGTCATCATTACCCTGATTTACCCCCATAGACGAAATTTAAGAGAAAATCGAGATTTTGACTCACTTCGAAAAAGGGTGGCGACCATGGGCCATAGGTGGTCATGCAGACCGACGGACGAGTTGAAAACGGTGAAACTGAAGTTTGGGGGGGGGAGGCATCTACTGTTTCTTTAGTGCTCAAGAGAAGGATGACAGCGCTCATGACACGTAACCGACTCATTTAGACTATACTTCTGATAAGTATCGGTATAATGTGGAGGAATCCCTGAAATGCCTAAACATTGACTTGCCATGGTCCAAGGGAACCGTCCTGGACCAGGAGAGTGGACACATCTGCCTGGGCCTAAGGGTGGAGGAGCTGTGCAGAAAAGTGGATATGATATAGGCAGGTTGTGTGGGATGGAGGACATCTACCGGTCTTTATCAAAAGTACGCCTGAAATAAATCCTTTACTTATTATCTTATCCATAGTGCTAGATGAGGGAGCGTACAAGAACATCGAGGGAGTAGTGAAGAAGACGAAGAACATCCGGCTCCGTGCCCACCTCTTCGATTCCGCTGTATTTCCTGCCCTAACCTACGCCTCAGAGACTTGGACTCTGCGCAGGCAGGACGAGCATGCGGTCAGCATCACTGTCGAGAGGAGGATGCTAGGAGTAACCCTTAACACGCAAGTGCAGAGGGGAATCCTTAGCTCGGAACTACGCCAACGATCGAAGATCAGGGACGCTGCCGCTTTCGCAAGTGGAATCGAAGATAAGGTGGGCCGGACACATTATGCGATGACCATTGGACCAGAGCGGTTACCGACTGGATTCCTCGGGACGTCAAACGAACACCTGGACGACCGCCGGCCCGATGGTCAGACTTCTTCACGAAAGCTCTGAACGAACGGAATGATGGGCTCCGTGTCCCACGTGCAAGGAGGATCCACTGGACCACCCTAGCACGCGACAGGGACGAATGGAGACGTTGCTGGCGCCCGCTCGAGCAATTCGATGATCAACGGGACGACAGGTGATACAGGTGATAGTGCTAGATAGCCCAAACACTGCCCTCTAGTACTACGGAAATGATAACAATGGAGTGGCCCCTCGAACTGGAGTTTCACCTTGAAAACAAGTGCGGCGCGGAGATAAAGAGGAATGCCCTGGTGGCTCACAGAAACCAAAGTTCGGCTTCATAGAGGAAATACACCACCATCTCGCAGTTCTTTAACCCTTTGACGACAATGGCACCCACCGGTGGGTGCCACTATGACCGGCGCGCGGGACAATGGACCCAGTGGTGGGTGCCACCTCAAAATTTTCTTCTTTACGCATTTAAAACATTTTCAATATGTCAGGAATTACAAGCAAGCTACTTTGTGCTTATGTTTAGCATATTTTACAGAAATGTTTGATACTAGCTAATTTATATAAATTTTTAGAATGTGGCAATTAACTCGGCAGCATATTAACTAGTGCTTTGCATTATTAAGCTTAAGGTGAATTACTGATCAGGATCTCTACATCTTTTCAGAGACTTAAGACATAATTAGGAGCTTGAACTGTATCGAAACTTTACTGTACATATGCACGTTAGGGTTTAATACCACCATCTCTTTGACATGCGAGTTCTCTTTCCGAAGTTCCACTTCTGACTCCGACACATGATCATAAAGCCTAAGACTGCAGCCACATTGTTCATCTTGCCGAAGTCTAAATTTTGATAGAAAACAGTTTTTAGGGACAATATTGCCCCATGTTGTGGGGGAGTTGGACGCGCCAAAATGGAGGCGTGGTCCCACGAGCATGCTCCGTGCAAATACGCATTGTCGTCAAAGGGTTAAATCGCTCCAACTATCGAGATGAAGCTTTGCAAGTGGAAGAGCCGTATATCCAATATACCACGTGTTGATGTAGGGGAAATCTGCCCGCCCGAATGCGTCCTGTAGCCCATCACCAGCTTAGGTGACTGCCACTGTCCATTCAGTAGTGGAACTTCTCATTATTTGGAGGATGACAAGAAACTTGTTTCTAATTCACCGGCCGGAGGAGCATATGGGCTATTGACCTAATGTTGGCC